CTCTTTCTCATTTTGCTTTTAATCAATTCTGTATTACAGTACTATTGACAAAAAATGATGATGATGTAAAAATTGTCATTTTTATAAAATGCGACAATTTTAATCATTTAAAACTGTGAATGTTGCGTATAGTATGCGTTCGAGTAAATTTGGAGATACTTTATAAAGAATATTTATAAAGTTACTATAATTATCGTAGTATGCTGTAAAATTCATTAGTATTTATAATCAGTGGGGCACAGAAGATCACTTCTTCTGTGCCCCAGATGATAATCAGATGATCTGTTACCAAACAAACAATATCTACATATTTTCCAAGAAAAAAACTGTCATATTCACGATAAACAACTAATAGCTCATCTGTTGTTGGGAATTATAGTATTTTTTACAGTAAAATCATTTTACGTCACGATTTATACAAAGTGACGTCACTTGTATTTAAAAGGACCATAACGTCAACCTTAGGGTGAACGCCCACCTAAGTGGCGTGGCAGTGGCAAGTAGCACGCGTCTAGCATAATGTAACCAATCCAAACGAATGATTAGAATGAATGACGTCACTGTCATTTTGGTGTAAACTGAATCATTCGTTTTCATTGGTTACATTATGCTGGACGCGTGCTACTTGCTACTTGCCACTGCCACGCCACTTTGGTGGGCGCTCTCACTTAGAGTTGAAATTTCCCTAACACAGCTAAAAATACGACTCCCATACGGAGTTCCTCGATCTTTCATACTCGTCCACATCGTATTATAATAAGAAAAATGTAATCGTGATTACGTTGGCAATTTTAGAATTATATTGAGTAAATATACAAAAACATTTCTTATTATTATAAATTTTGTGCACAATTGAATGGTGGGCCATAACAATGTTGTAAGCGACAGAATTGAGATTATGCAAAAGATGAAAATAACATATTGACAAGTTATTTATGAAAATAAGCACTGAAAAAAGTAAATTTCACTTAACAACAAGATAAAATTATAGATGTGTAAATAAAACAGAAAAAAAAATGATTTCAAAAACATATGCCAACAACAATGTTGTATATACTGGATATATAATAGTGTTGCACCTGATTACTATGCGATGTTTTGGCTTATTTAGGTTTTTAAAAAAAGTAATAATAATAAACTATAATCAATTCAAAATGTTTATTAATATGTTTTATATGCTAAGTATACAGTTTAATGCTCCTTAAATTTAAACTTAAAAATAATGTTCCATCTTATTCTATTTCATAAAACTCTCGGTATTCGGGTTTCAGATACTGGCACATATCCAGTAGATTTTTGCGTTTTTCTTCTTTTATTTTTATAGACCCGGTACACGCATTAATTTGGTAGTTGAATGCTCTGATGGCTTGTGCACCCCATTTTTATTCACAAGTGTTTTGTTGCCAAGGTTGCATGATGTTGTGCAAAGTTCTAGCCATTATTCTCGTAAGATCATCGCTGTCGAATTTGAACCAACGGTACTCAGTGATCTTACATTTGGGATCTTTCCATAAGTAGTTCTCACATGCTGAAAAGTCTTTGAAGTCTTTTTGCTCCATGTAGTACACATTGAAGGTATTGCTGGGAGGTGAGTTGGCAATCACTGCCACCCAGTCGAAGGGTACATTCACCATTGCTCTTTTTTTCTTTCTCTATGAGCGAGGAGTCACGGTCGCAAGGTAAGAAGCTGTGACCGCTAGTTAAGAACGTCTGTTCTACTTGAATGAGATATCTATTCACAATCAGCTAACGGAACATGGACAGAATTCTCCAGTTATTATTCTGGCCGACGTATAGGTCAGACCAAAGCATCAGTTTTTTATTTCTCCTGAATTCAATGGACGAAAGTTAAGTTTTATGTAATACAGGAAAGCTGAAGCGATATCTGTAGAACCACGATTACCAATAGATTCATGCCACAACATCATAGTGACATCATTTGAACGTGCATCGTGAATACCATAGTTGTAAGTGACATACTGACATTGGTAAAACACAGAAGAGTCAATGTTGGACAGTACAACACTTGCAGAAGATCAGTGAAGAGTACGACGAGTTGTGGATTAGCCTTTTCAGCATCCAACTTCAATGCTTTGTATCCAGCCTCAGCACGTGCATGGTGGAGTTCACTGTCTACAAAAATAGCTTTTCTTTCTGGACCGTCTGGAGTAACCACAAGCTTGATATACATTTTATCACAAAATGTACACATATCTGAGCGAGGAAGACCAAAGTGCAGATTAAAGTCTAATTAAAATATGTCAGTGTAAGTGCGCCAGGAACATTGCGATTCGTTTCACAAAACAGTTTGTAGATTTTTTTCAAATTTAATTCAGCAGGAAGGCAGTTCTTCGTAGATGCAGCGCGACAATTAATGGTTTTCTTGTAAACGACTTTATGTATACTCTTATACGTTTTTTGTCGGATTCGTTGATGTTATTAGGCATATTATTGTGTTTTCCACGTTAATCACGTAGCGACATATCTGTTTTCATCTTCTGCTGAATGTGTTGGATTCTTAGAGGTGTTATTCCAAATGCTTGTCGTACAGTACATTGTCGTCTGGAGTCCGCCTATGTTGTGGCTCTTGAAGTTCCATACAACCGGCCAGGTGCGCAGTTTGTGCATTATAATCCAGCCTATGAAATGTGAAGAGATGTTTACACTGACCCTGAATTTTAGTAGCTTCGCAAAAAGATTTGCACTTACATAGTCGCTCCTAAAATATAAAAATACTTATTTGTAGTTATCGAAAGATGCCGAATTTGAAATCATACATTCATTACGGACGAGCACAGATCATAATAAAGCTAACGACAATGATAAGGCTACAAAAATGCGTTCTGGTACATTCTCGTTACTAGCAGATACATATGCTTCATCTGCAATTCTCTGGTGCTCGCTTTGGTCTTTGGATATACAACAATATTGCAATAAAACCTCACTTTGACCCAATCTGTCGCTTAAAACATTGTTGCGTCCCACCATTCAATTGTTCAAGTTTAATAATACCAAAATAATCCTTCTAATCGCACGCCAGTGATACAGATGTAAACGAAACTCAAACCTATTGTAAGAATTCTGTTTGTTGTTTCTTTTTCATCAGAATGCCCACTCTGCTTGAAAAAATAAGTACGCGCATCTCGTTGGCGCAGACGGAATCAACCATGTTTTAAACGGAACCAGCTCAGTGACATTTTATTTGGTGTGTATAGAAAAATTAACCCGGTTTAATTTATTTACGGCAACCATAGACATAATATGCACTATTTATTCGTACTTTTTGTTGAAGAATAGATTAAACTATTTTAAATGTACTAAATTATTAATCTCTAAAAACTTATATTACAGTTCTGTCGTAGCTTGTCACAAATTTCTCAATTCGAGTCTGTTTCCGTTTAAAAATATGGCAGTTGCGTGTTGATAAACTTCAAAGTATCTGAAAGTGGACATTCTGATTGTTATTTATTCTGTGGTAGAGAGCTGGTGGCTAAATTATACATGTGCATGTGACTTTTATAACATTATGAATTAAACTCATCTGTTTCCCCATTATAGAAAAGTTAAAAATAAATTTTGAAAAGTGTTATTTTAGTTGACGTTTTGAAAATTCCTCATTTATTAACTATTCTGATGTTTTGCAACGCTGCGGGGTTCTAACGTTACAAATCTGGATAGACGTGAATTGATTTTTGTATGAAAAATTCTATATGTACACCATTTTAAAAATATAAAATATCTCCAAATAAAAATTCACTTAGTGCATGTATTAAGACGGTTATACTTTTGTTATATATTTATTTGTTGATAAAAGCAAGAAACTAAGATCATTTTAGTTAATGACAGATTTGAAAGTCTCACCAAATATCAGTCTCATATTTGGAAAGCTAATAGTAAAATCTGTCTTATTATTTAAGCCAAAAATATGGTGATAAATTCGTTATTTCACTGTCAATGTCGATATGTTCAAAAAACCATTACACATTTAACAAACATTTTTATGTAAACATCCATTTTACACATCTATGAACATGTTGATTTTGAAAACAAGTACTTAAAAATGAATCTCTTGCTGATAGTATTGTTGTAGTTTAAGCAATATGTTGTTTTTTATGTTTATATTGAATAAAAGGTATTGAAATAAATAAACATTTTGTAATTCTTGTTTTATTGCAACTTATTACATTAAAAACATTGTGTACTGAACTGATCATCTCAAAGACATCCCCAGTGTGGTTTGTAGGAATTAAAATAGAACTCTTTAGTTAATCATCTTGTCATCTAATCATAAGAATTCTAACGCATGAGCTTACATAAACAGATTTGCTTTAAAATTTGGATTCATGTTGCTCTTACCCTCATCAAAACCAGTTTCGTTGTAATTAATTATGGAATTGGATTGGATATCTTTCAAGGTATCCTGGAGATTATCAAAATATAAATTCACAGACTGGTGAGAGACACCTGCAAGGACCCTCCTGATATTTTCATAGAGTGTCTGCGTTAGGGCATTCTTATGTTGAAATAAAAAAGAATGGATCCAGTAAATTGTTCTTAAATAGTCTCATTTTAATGCCTTGAATGAAAAAGGGGATAGAAAAAGAACAAAAAACAGTATCAATAATATTAATTGATTAGGACACATATACAGATATATTAAACTGAATAATTTACTATTATAGTAAATTAAAGTTTTTATTGTGTATATGCATTACAAATATTATTCCTGGAAATGTTCCTTTTGTATTTTTAAGTAAGTACACTCATCATCTCTTTTTAATTAATGAAAACAAACACACCTATTTGTTTCTTCAAAGATGTGGTAAATAAACTTGGCCCATTCGATAAAATGCTATATTGTCACCACTGCAAATAGCAAATAATTCTGGTTTAGTTGAATTTGTGTTTGTATAGTTTATAGCATCTGATTCACTAAAAAGCAAAAATGTTGGTTTATATTCACTAAATTCTACACAAAGAACAAAAAATGTAAAACCTACCATATATACAAGTTAAAATCCCATTCAACTCGACTGCTGTTATTTTTTATAAATACACAATAATCTGGACTGGTTTCTAAAGCTTCTTTGGAACTATATTCCTTTGGGCAACTGTTTCTCAATTTCTCAAATATTCCTCTAATATATTCACCTGCTCTTTCATCAGTTTCAGAATCATCCAAATCTTCTGACCTAATCCTTTTCTCTTGCACCTCATCATTTTCATCTTCTAATTTTCTTTTCCTGGTATCTGTATCACAGATCTTTGAATTTTCTTTTGGTATTTTTCCGTTATTTCTTTTCCTTACAACTTCACTATATCTTATTACTCTGTTTCCTTGTAAGACCAGTTTTTTATATGCCTGGTATTTGGTTAGGGTCATATTTGGTACATTTAGAACTACATCAAAGCATTCTTGAACAGTCAGTGGGACATTGTTCACAAAAACTTCCATTTTATTCTGCAAATCAAGTTGTTGATTATAATATAGAAAGTATTATCAAAAATATAAAGACTTTTAGACTAGAATATGGACATTTTAGGAGTTAATTTAAAAAAGATCTTTTGATATAACTAGCTATACTAGAATTTGTTTTCATATCATACCATTTCAACCAAGTATAACATTTCTTCAGGATACACATAAATTCCACTTTTATCTTGATAACCAAAGGTTTCTAAAAGTCCTTTTACAACTTTCTCTACTTTGGCCAGCTTAAGAGATGCAATCCATTCAGCTTTGGCTCTGGCACATCTAAAACAGTACACAAAAATAACAAATATTTTATATGGTTAATTACAATGAGTTCGTGATACCTTTTTTAGTTACCTTTTGTCTACTTTTTTATGTTTTAATGCAAATTCTAAAACTTGCAAGTTTTTAGTGACTAGTTCCTGCCTTTCCCTGGAGGTATCTTTAAAGAACTGCTTGGGACCAAGAAAATTTATTTTAGTTAAAGGATGTTTGTGATCATTTACTATAACTTTAGCCCTGAAAATCATATAGTTATCAATCGTTTATAAATAAAGTATTCATTTTCAGCTTACTCTTCTTCTACAGGAAGATCGTACATTGTAATATCTATTTAATATATTTTTTTTTTATTTTAATAATATTTAATGCATTAGTGATGGTAATATGTATTAGCTACGTAAAACTAAAATCAGTGAAATTAAAATTTAAAAAAGTATTGTATATTTTGGGTATAAGTAGGGTTATGATAACTTTGTGGATGTCTTCTACTTTCACAGTATATTGACAGAATGGGAAAATTCTAGCCTCTAGCGTCTAGAGCCTGACCAAGTATTCTGTGCAGACTTGCGCAGTTCATTTGTATTCATTTCTGAATGTGTCAACACCGAAGTGTCAATACTGTCAATGAGGTTTTATAATTTTATCTATAAGATGAATATTGTTCCTCGAAAAGCTCTGTTTTTTTTAATATTTTTTGTTGCTCATATGTTTCCAATAAAAATGTGTTATACAGAATGTGATGTCATGTAAATACTAATGCCAACTTTATTATTTTAGATAGAACACCAGGGCTTTTATTTAACTGTTTTTATTATGCAATGCATTAAAGGCACAATCCCTTCTATATTAACTTTTAAATATATAGTCTTTAAGATACCTACTGATGTACATTCCATTTCACACCTGGTAAAAATATAGGCAGGTTTAATTTATTTGACATAATATCTATTTTAAAAGAATATAGGTACATATCTCAGAGTACTATTATATGCATTATTAAAAACAAGTTGAGATACGAAAATGAACTCACTCTTTATTGAAATTAGGTATAGAACCTTTTAAAGTCATAAGGAGACACGCAGAGAGTAATCTATTCATTAACCACCCTGTATCTTAAAATAAGTTAATTAAAACTATAACATGCAATTATCAAAGTTCTTTGATAATGTGTTCTTTGTAATTGCTCAAAAAATTTATAATATACTTAACCAATGTTTCATTTAAAATAAGAAAGTTGGTATCATAGTAATTGATATATAACATGAGTCAACATCCTGTACATAACAAATTTTTATTGGAAAAAATGCGCAAAAAGTATTTTAAAAAACCTTTAATTTTGATTTAACTATTATTTACTATTAATTTTAGAGTTATTCTTATGCAACCAACAATACACATAAATCTCGCAGATTCAGATTTGATACAAATGAACTGCGCAAGTCTGCACAGAATAGTAGGTCAGGCTCTAGACACTAGTCTGGATACTACCCATGATACATACTACCCAATAAAAGAAGAAGAAGAAGATTATGAAGCCATAACCTAATATTTTACACGCTTCTTTTATGCTTTTTTTGTAGTGAATAGGTGCAATTCCTTGTTTTTATAAACATGGTAAAAGTAAAGAAACCCTCGACACATGCGTCTAATCAGATTAAAAAACTTACAAAGGTGAAGAGTGGTAATAAAGTAAGCAAGAAACCGAGAGATGAGAAACTAAAGAAGTTACAAAAATTCCTTTTGGAAGAAAAGTTTAATATAAACGTTCAAGATGTGGAGAATGCTGTATCCGGTGCTATTAAGTTACATTTAAACAATCCTAAGATTAAGAACCAGTTATTTGACGAAGATAAATTTGCAATAAACTTAAAGCTAAACTGTCACAGAATTCCAAGAGGATATCCAAAAATATTAAGAGTTCCCTTAAAACATTCTCTATTAAGTCCCGAAGATGATGTGTGCCTTATTGTGTCTGAAATTAAAGGTGTAGGTAACAAAGAGCATGAAAAACATGTCGATCACTATGAAAAACTTCTAGCAGATAAGAATGTCACCAACATTAAGAAAATAATGACTGTACATGAGCTGAACACTGAACACGAAACTTTTGAGCAAAAAAACAGACTTGCAGATTTATATGATGCATTTTTAGTGTGTGGAAAAGTTAGTGGCAAGGTTGTACATAAATGCGGCAAAATCTTTTACAAAAAGAGAAAAGTTCCAACATCAATTAATCTTAAAGCTACGAAATTAAAAGAACACATTGATAAAAACTTATCAAAATCATTTCTTCATCTCCATTTAAAGGGTGATACATATAATCTTCAGTTCGGGCACAGTAAGATGAGTGTAGCAGAAATTGTAGATAACTTTATATCTTCAATGGAATATTTACAAAGGGAATTTCCTGGAGGATTTGAAAATATTAAGGGATTACATGTATGTACACCAAGAAGTACATCTATTCCTGTATATGTATCTGCAAGTGAGTATTTATTTAAAAGTGTATGAATGTTACTATTTATGTTGTGTTAAGTAGAATTGGCAACTATCACAATCCCTTTTTTGATTTGTAATTTTTGTGTTACAGAGAATCCAAAGGATCTTCAAGATGTCAGAGTAAAGACTACTAACAAATATGTACCTAAGGCAGTTCAAGATGAATTAACAACACTTCCTAATGCTCAGGTTCTTGTTAAACCAAGTGGTCAAATTATTGTTGTAAAGGTGAAGGATGACGAAGAAGATGATGATAAAGAAGAAAATATTGATATAGAAGAAGATGATGATGAAGAAGGTGATAATAAAATAACCTTAAAAGATATTCTAGATGATATCAAGAATAGCAAACATGTGCAAAAGGATAATGAACAAGATGACTCAAGGAAGAAATTAAAAAGCAGGAAAAAAGCTAAGAAAAGTCTACCAAGTGACTGGAAAGAAGAAATATTAGATTCAGAGGAAGTATCTGTTGAACCTTTGATTAAAAAGAAAAAACAGAAAAGTGCTGAACCTGAAAATCTTGACAAGAAAAACTTAAAAGTGAAAGTTCACAGTAAAAGTAAAAATAAGGTAAAGAGGAAGAAGGCGTAATTTTATTAATTATGACATAAATAATTTGTAAGAATAAAATAAATAGTTTATGGTTTTTGTTGTTTTTCTTCAAAATGTTTGATCTTCAAAAGATTTCTTTTAAATAAAGATTTGTCAACTTTCATTTCCCAATTCATTAGCAAATTGAGTGCACTACACTATTGGGATGTAATAACCTTAAGAACCTCTGAGGGTCTGTGGTTTCTCAGTGTAGTAAAGTTGCTTGAATATGTTTTTCCAGGAAAATATTGATTTTTTGTACTTATTAGTAGCATGACAGCCACTAACTTGATATTTGTTTAATATTTCAATTATGGAAGTAATTCCATTCACCTTTGTCATGTTTTTCTTATATAATTATGCCAGTACTAATGACTTAATGATGAAAATTTCCATGCTTTCGACAGTGCTTTTAGAAATAACATCGTAATTTTGGAGGTAAGTTTTTCCATGTATATATTCACTTTTCTGTGGTATCAGTGACTTTATTTTAGCATACACAAACATTAAAGATCTTTTTATGTAGATATGACTTTCTGTTTCTATTTGTTGTCATCCTGATCATATGAGTGTTCCATTCTATTCTCTTTCTTACCCAGTCCAATGTTATCCACTTTGCATCCCTGTTTATCTATAGTTCTAGTTTTGTCCCACAGTGTCTTAGTATCAATTCTTTTAAGGGTTTTAAACTCTGCTATTTCTAGCATTCTTTTTGTTTGCTGTGTCAAGTACTGTTTCTGTTGCATATATCATTATTGGTCTGATCACTGTTTTCCTAAATTCTGGCTTTCACTTTGTTCTCAATGTGTTTATTTCTCCACATTGTTTCATTCAGGCGTCTTATGGATCTGTTTTCTTGATTCACTTGATCTTTTTAAAGGTAGATAGTGTAATTCTCAACTATTAAAACTCTAGATTCAATAGAGGGCTGAGAGAATTACCCTATCTTATATCATTGCCAGTGGAACAAGTGGATAACATTATTTATTTTAATGTTAGAACCATTTACAATAAAATACAACAAATAGTAAGAAGTAAAGATCATGTACAATAAACATCAAAACAATAACACACAATTGAATAGTAAAAATTTGTACATTAAAACAGTATATCAAATTACAAAAGTTACGAAATATCACATATCTAGATTAATAATTAGATTCTTAAGTTGCCTTTTGAAAATATTAATGTTTGGACAGAATGGATCCAATAGGTCATTGCAAGAGCTGAGCATTCTCGACAAGGGAAAATGACGAGCATAATCAGTCCTATGAAAAGGAATATAAAAGAGTGCAGTATGTCAAGTTCTATGTATTGTGTTTAAGTGTAAATTGGCTAATGGAGGACAATCAATAACATTGTTTAGAATTTTAAACAAAAATAACATCTTTCAACCTGCGGTTCTTCATTGTTAAATTGAGACATGCATATGAAATAATTTTCAGTATTTCTTATATTAATAAGTGCTTCATAATCTATAAAAATCTTAGAAACTTCCTCTTAACGCTCACCAATCCATCAATGTATACTTGATGAAATGAGGACCTAACAACAGAGCAGTATTTAAGACCTGAACGTACCAGAGAACAATACAATAATTTGAATACAATAGGTGAGAGATTGTTGACTGTTAGGAGAAATAAAACCAAGATTACGAAATACTGTTTCCTTAATTTTAAGAAAATGGCTTCTAAATGATAATGCACAATCCAATAATACACCCAAATTTCTAATCTCAGTAACTGAATCCAGAAGTACCTACATCATTAAGAACATATCTATTAGCTATTATATTATTTATACTGCCAACTGAAATACAAGAACATTTTGTTTTGACCATAAACATGTATTATTTACATCATCTTGCAAGATATATCTATCCGATTTATCACGTATACAATGAAATAACCTAAGATCATCAGCAAATAGCAGGTAGTGTGAGTTTTTGATAGCCAATATCGTTTTATTAACAAGTTAAAAAACAAGGGACCACAATGAGATCCTTGTGAACTTTCTGTGTATGTCCCATCAGAAAACTTTTAATCTAATTAACAATGGGGTGACCAAAGCCAGATGTTTGTGGACCAAAAGGTTATGATTAACCTGGTCAGAGGCCTTTGAGAAATCAGTGTAAATGCTGTTGACCTGAATTTTATTCTCAAATGCACCCAACAAGTATTGTTGATAATTGACAAGGTTTGTTACGTGGTTACTGTTGACTTCCTGTTAGAAAATCCATGTTGTTCATCAATAATTATGTTTCTGCAAGCCTATAGCTGAGGCAATTTATCATGAACTTTTAGGATTGCTGATTGAATAGTTATACCTCTATAATTGTTAACACAATCACTATTACCAGATTTATAGATAGGTGTAAGAAAAATTATTTTTCCAATATTGTGGATATACAGATGACAATGTTAAATTGAAAATTTATTGTAAAGGTTTACAAAGGGAAAAAATACAGTTCTTAATAAGTGCTACAGGTATTGAAGAATATCTAGTTTTTAAACTCATAATCCCCTCGAAAACAGACTAAAATTCAGAATCTGGAAATCCACACCATAGTCCAATTTAAAATTAAGTAAATTATACTATCATTATATGTACCTGAAAAATAACTGGCAAATAGATTGACTATTTCATCACCATTCTGAGTTATTACATCTCCACTTTTATTAGACATTACATTAGGATAAGCACTAGACCCACATGTGGCACTAACATACCTCCAAAAAGAGTGGGGATTACTTGAAAGATTTGCTTGAATATTCTCTAAATAGTTCTTATAACATACTGCTTTTAATGATTTATATCTTTCCCTTAACACTGAAAATTCCTCATATGAGGTGCCTGATGCTTTAAAATTCCTGTGAGCTATTTTTTTCTGTATAACAAGCTCAATTAATTCCCGTGAAAACCAAACTGAAACGTTTAATGATTTAAACTGTTTGATAGGAACAAACATTGATGGCATCTTATAAAATATGGTAAACATTTTGTATGCAGCAATTAATATCTGATTCATCTAATACCTTGTTCCAAGGAATTGAGGCTAAATATTCATTTAAAACTTGATAATTACATTTTTTAAAATCATGATAAAGACATCATATTTAAGAAACAAATTTAAATTGGCTGCATGTAATAATATAGTATAAGCTGAATGATGTTGCAAAGTATTCAATAGAATATCAGTTGAAATCGACATAATTTTACCATATCAAATGCATTCTTTAAGTCCATGAAACATAAATATGCCATTTTGTTGTATTTATCTTGCATTTGCCTTTCAAGATAGTTTGACTAATATTTTGAGATTTCTCTATCATTTCAACTGTTCCAGATGGTTCTCTATGTATATACAGTTTTACACTATTATAAGAGCATACTAGATAACAAATTGTTGGACTATTGACAGGTTTCAGTTCCAGACATCTCACAGAAAGTTTGAAAGGGTTAATCTTTGTTATAAAATATATGAACCATGTTGAAAAGGGCTAACCTATTGCTTTTCGAACAGCTTTATTTATTTATAGTTTATTTCTCACTGTTTGCTTGGGTGTACTTTCGTTTACTCCACACATGATCAATCTGAATGAGGACTTCACAGCTGGGTTTAACTGATGATAGATCTCCTAAGTTATAGTTTAACACAAGAAGTAAATTCACATCATTATTGACATCAAAGGATGTAAAGAAAAAACAAATTAAAAATATGAAACATATATTCAAAAGTTTCAAATGCAATGAATGGACAACAACAGTCAGATCAAGATATAACAATAATTAAATAAGAATTGCATAAAAGATTTACTCTTGATGTAGAGGTGAAGTAAGTACAACTTCCAATGAGTGATAAAATTGTAGCCTTTTAACATCTTTGTCATTCCTTAATCTGATATTTGGAAGCCTTCTTATTCTCTCTACTTGACTTTCAAGAATTCCCAGTTCTTGGCAGCATACTCTCAGCAAATTTGCATAGGTCAGGCTTGATTTACTTATTTCAATTTCTATATAATCTGGGTCTGAAGATGATATCTTAACTTTTAACACTAAAACTAAATAAAACATATTAACCTTTATTTGGTATTAAATAGAATACTTTAGCACTTTGATGTCGCTCATACTACTACAAGCTAAACCCAATTGAACTTGTAGGGGTTCAGTAGGAAAAATACACAATGTGAGATATTCATAGATACTTTGCATAGACACTAAGACATAAATATGGAGTTATTCCCACTTGTTGAAATAAAGTAAATATTTCAGCTAAATAATTGATTATGTTTACAGTACAAATAAAAATTAAACAAACTACCTTCTTCCTCTGATGAAGATGTTGGAACTGACCCATTCCTATAATCTGTAGTTTTTTGCTTTTTATGACCTGTTCCAAGATCAACACTTACTGGAGGATTCTTCAAATAATTTGGAACATAATTCAGTCCATCAACTGATGATTTATCTTTGGAATTTAAGTCAACATAGTCAGGACTTACTTCTTCAGGAGTTTGTCCTTTAGAGTTTCTTATATCTCGATTTGCACCGTGATCAATAAGAAGTTTTATCAGATGGTTGTTTCCTCTCTTGTAAGCCCAATGAAGGGCTGTCCTAAAAAATAGTTTTTTGTTTTAAAGAAGACAGCTCTTACTATCTTCACGTCGGCTTTTGAGACCAGATAATCGAAGACCACAGTCTATAAATATGAAAAACAATGTACCATTTCAAAACACAGAGAGTGAAAATATAAATTTTTTGAAAAGTGCATTGTCACGCTTATATTCAGGACTTTTTGATAAGTTATGCAAAGTTACCTAATAAACACATTAAAATACAGTCATGTCTTGTAATTAGTTGAAAATATTACCATCCGTTCATATTGTTTTGAGAATTTACATTGATTTTTTGAGATAACAGTAGGTTAACTGATTCTACATCTCCAATACTAACAGCTTCCCTTAGTTTTTCTTCCAGTATATTTGCCATATTTTTCGAATCGCCTGACAAACCCACTTTTAAAATTGTCATGTACATTTACTACTTTTTCTTGATTTTTCTTTTATACACATATCTACGACATTAATAGAGAAGAGAGAAAACGTTAAGGTTATGTCATTGTTTTATATCAATCAAGATCAATATTTATCAATGAAAATGAATAAAAAATTCGTTAGTTTTACAGAATTGGAAAAACCCCTTTTATTTATTGTCTCATTGTGTATCTGACCTCTGATCTATAAAATAAGCCAATTCATTGTTGGCATTCTTATTAAATCCAATTAAATCACTGATTATGATATGAATGAATGATATGATAACAAGTAACGTGCAAGTAACCTGTGCAAATAACTAGCCATTTAGTTGATGTGATGATCAACAGGTGGCGGTATGTGTACTTAAGAAATTCAAATGGTTAGCTCAGGCACAGAATAAAAACAATTGTTATGATAATGTATTCTGTGGCTCAAGGAAATAAGTTTTAGCACCGAACAACGTTGTTCGGTTTTTTTAGTTTTAATTTTGATTTATTCTGGTATCTATCAAGTTTTTTTTTAAATCCAGATTATTAAAGAATAAAGAAGATTAAAGAAAGTTTTTATCTTTACTGCAAATATTTTCGCGTTGTTTTTTAATTACTTATATGATCATCCGTGACTTAATTATCCGTGGCTTCACACAGCATATTTTGTTTGCTATTTAGCCATCGAGCAAAAATACATTATCATTAATCAAAATATCAACATCCACATTTGTGGTTAAGTATATTTGTTTTGATTTTAATAAATAATGGATAGCAGTAGAAAACGACTTCACTTCAGTAATGAAGATGATATGTTTTTGTTTAAGGAAGTCGTAGGAACCCTTAAGATCATCCGGAAAGGTGAAATTTAATCACTGGTATATCAGACATGGTATCTAAATTAAAACGGCCGTATAGTCGTGCAAGATGTGGAGAAGAAGCGGATTTTCTATGTTCTCGTCTTCTTCATCTCGTCTTCTTCAGTTACAAAAACTCCCTAATTTTGACAATGATGCAACTGCCCACTAGCGGCCAATAAATGTACTACCTTTTTGGCATTGTTCCATCCGATAGAATGGTACGTTCTGACTTTTTTGATACATTTAACTCAAAACTGCAAGAAATTTCATTTACGTCATTGTTGCTCCGGAGAAGCGATATAACTTTTTCAGTGAGGTCTCTTTTTTTCTATTTATGTTTTTATATGACCGTTTACATGGTAATCTCGTCCCCTTCTCCTCCTTCTATTTGGTTTTCATTCCCAAGTTCTCAGCGGTATTCTTGTCGCGTCAATTCTTCATACATGTCCATACCAGAGTAAATTTTGTTTTTGTATACGGTCATTTAGTATCTCCTTCATATTAATTAGTTCTCTAATTAGTTCATTTCTCACTTTGTTCATTAGGATAAACACAAGAGAAGTTTACACAAAGAACAATACCTACTAAGGTTCGAGCATCATCTGAATGAAGTATTTTGATCGGGTTTTGACAAGGCTAGACTACAGAAGATAAACGAGTGGAATGGAGAAGGAAACACGAAAGAGAAGAGAACTAGGGCACTTTTGAAAGAAATAGAGAAACCTAAAACATACGAGAGAGAAAGAAAATATAACGATAACGAAAAAATAAGCTATGATTATGTACTACAGCGTAACAAAAATTTTTTACACATTTCGCATAGCCCAGAAGACAGAAACCGATATTATTATATCGTTTTCGTTCACGGCTGCCAAAGCAGGTGGCGCCTCGGTACGCTAACCACTGTAATGGTGAAGTTTTAGGAGACATTCGTTGGACTTTCCGACCGAGTTTGAATTTGTATCAGTCCAAGTGTCTGATGAGGCTGGGATAGGTCGAAATAATTCATAACAGTTTATCGATACCGATTCGAGCACGGGAAGTTTAACAAATTTGTCCTAGGTCATATATTTATTTGGTCATTTAATATACTGTTATGATATGTAAAATCGAGAAAAATATTGGTTTGTTTAAAATATTTCAAAGTTCAAAAACATTAAAATAATTCAGATATGTAGGATAATAACCAACAAACATTTCGAAGAAGGAAAGTCTTTAAATTTTTGGATTACCTGTATTAAACAAAATGTAAGCTATGCATAAATTATTTTCTTTGTTATAATATACTTGAGTGACCCGCATAATTTTAAGTGAAATCCAAAGACAATTGAACCGGGTTTTCCAAATACATTAATGCAGTGATTAAGGACAATAGAATAGATTTTAGAAAGATAGGTTTTTGTTAGTTTTTAAGAATCGTAGAAAAATATTATTTGTAAATAAGTTTTAGGAAATTTTACAATTATAGGTAAAAATTTGTTTGTTATCGAAATGAAAAAATGGGGATGGATGACGCGTTTTGATTGGATAAAATTGAAAAAGGTGGGATGATTGTTTGGAGAATGAGACTTTAGTTAGTTTTTGAAACAAAAAAGATAGTCAGTTAGTTTCCAAGGGTGCAAGGCGAACGGCCGTTGTTCTCGGGTAGTTTCCCAGAGGTAGGAAGCAGTAGCAGTGAAAGTTTGTGAGTTTTCGTGTAGTTAGTGTATCTGACAGAAGCTGATCCAGTAAAAGATTGTAAGTTATATTTTTCTACTTATATTCCAAGAGTCACTGTTCAGGCCAACGAGAGATTCAGTTTATTGAGAGAAAAAGAAGCTAGCATAATTTGAACGATTCGTGCATTTGAAGGAGATCATTAAGGACGATAAACTTCAGTAATTTGTTGTAAGATTGCTGATAACCTAGGGAGCGGCTACGAGTAAATAGTATAGTCTACAAGGAACAAGGATTTGGACCACTCATCATCAGAGGGAGATAGTTTTGTTTTCTGCAGTTTTTCATTTATTGATAACACAATTTTTACACTTAATTTAGAAAGGATATAAATATTTTGATTAGGAGATTTAGAATAATATTTGGGATTTTGAGATTTCAACTAATATTGTTTGTACCAATAATTTTGAAGGTTCACGTACGTTAGAACAAAATTTTGAGAATCATTATATGAGATATTGTTTATTGAAAACATTTGAGTATGAATTTTATTTCATTATTTTTATTTCAATATATAATGTTAGATCATATATGTTTTTTATTATTCCGGTATTCTTTGGACCTTACCTTTCACATGTAATAGCATAGATATTGAAGCACGAATTTAACCCTGAGATAAGAGAATTAAAACGTGTGATAGGGTCATAATCATATCATTTAAATAATTTTAATTAATTAATTAATTAATTAGCTAATTAATTGCTTGGCGCACCAAGACTTTAAATATCACAATACATACATACATATAATATATATATATATATATATATATATATATATATATATATAGTATAATTAATTAAAAATTTTTAGAGGAAAACAATAACAAAAACATTTTTTTTTTCAATATTTAATAAATACAAAAATAAATATTACAATATTACAACGTATCGAAAATATTTACAACAGTTACTTTTTATGTCGTACACTATAAAGGCAATAAATTACTTAAATATTTTTACTTATTTAGAAATATTCAAATCGTTCCGTTATAAAATTGGCAGAATCGAAATTCCAACACCCATTTAAACAAGTTTATATTTATAAAAGTAGAAGGAACTTGGCGCAATAACCTAGTTAATGTTTTTAAAAATGTGTAGTTTATTGAACACATAAGCTTATTGCAAAGTTGACAATTCCACAGAATTGTTGCTAATATATTGGCCTGAAATATCTAAAATCCAGTATCATATTTGGTTATAATGGAAACCGCTATTTACTTTTTCATTTTTAATGGAACTTCCTATGTTATCATTTTATTTTTAGATACTGCCTTAGTTTTGACCTAATTTTGTATAAATAAGTATTCATATGTGAAGGCGCAAAACCTTCTACTTAAGCCTATACAAGTTCGCAGTGGCAGAAAGATAGTATAGGTAGTTGCGGTAATATATTGTAGCATGCTTTAATGCGGCGACACTTGATCCCTTTTCGTTAGAACCGACTGGATGCCTGTGCGAAGCGTTTTAGTTAGGAAGCAGTTCGTTAGTAGAGTGTAGAGTGTTGTTTGTTGAAATTTAATTATTTTGAATAGATATGTGGCGTTGGTGGGTAAATGTGGTTGGAAATATGGTGGAAATACATTTATTATTGAATTGAATGATGGAGAAAATGAATTAAGTGTAAAGGTATTTTAAGTGATTCTTTGTTAATTATTGTATTGTGCAATTATTATTGTAATACTAATTACAATTGTAATAATGAAAAGACTCTCGTTTCAAAAAAGTTGTTATATTTTTAAGTTTTGTATTTCTGATCATCAACTACTTGTAGCAGATATTAAACTAAGGTTAAAACGAATTCAGCGACAAAAACAAAAACCAATGTACTTAACTTTGACGATATAAACATAAAACATAACATTAAAAAATAATTTAACAATAGAATAAAAAACATCAAAGAACAACTAGAAGATCCAGAAGAACTATGGAGTGAATTAATCACGAAAAATAAATGGACGACAGACATCTTGAAATTAATGGAACAACGTCGACTGATAAAATCTCATGAAACAGAATATAGACACCTGCAGAGAAGAATAAAAAAGGAGATCAAATTAACCAAAGATGGCGATTGCTAACGTCAAATAATTCTGATATGGCATGCAAAGAAGATTTCCTGAAATAAATGGAATTTTTTTTCTTTGTTGCGAGATATGCCGATACCTTTTACCTTTATTTTACTATCACCTCGCATTAACCTTTTTTGTTGTTGTTTGAAACGTTCTTATGAAATTTTAACAAAATCACTGTCACTGATTTAAATGTCAAAATTTAAATCGCGAAAATTCCCAGGCAACATAATGTTCTCTCTTATGATATTATAATATGAAAATTTTATAGAATATTTTTTGACAATAGTACAAATCTGTCGCCTATATAGAAGCATACATATCCATGTGAGCTTCCGATTTAAATTCCCAATTGTCTATATTATTTTTTTTGTAGACCTCTAATTGTAGATCTGAT